TTTAATGCTCAGAACACTCACCCTGTCCTTCTTCAGGCTTGGTACTACATAGCTTAAATTTCTTTCTTTTTTAAACTGATATTTGTTTTACTGATTTCAATATTACATTTTGTTTTCACATCACCTATGTTTCTCACTGTGTCCTGTCACTTTCTCCCAAAGAACTATTATTATAGTAAAGAATTTTAAAAAGGAAGCAAAAAATTCAGCTAGAGTAATCAGTATTATCAAAAAAGTCTTGATATATGTGATGTTTCCACTCTTGGTCCCCCATCTCTGCAAAAGTGGGAGTAGAGCAGAGCAGGAAGAGTTGTCTCATTTCTCTTAAAAGTACAGAAGCTAAAAGTTCTGGAAAATTGAGATGACAAAGAAAAATCCATAAAGCTAATGACTCCATCCAAATACTCAGGGAACAAACCCAGCTGTTTGTTCAGAAGGAGGTGACAGTAGAGTGAGACTCTTGAAATAACCACTAACCTCCCTGAATGATTAGCATCCATATGAATGCGGCAGAGCTACTGTTCATCTTAGGAGGCACAGGGAGTCAGAATTCTCTGGTAAGTTCACAGGTTCAAAGATTTAGAGCTGGAAGGGACCCCAGAGGTCATTTAGTCCAACCCCCTCATTTCACAGATGAGGATAATCACACAGAGAGGTTAAGTGAGTTGCCCAGAGTGACACAGCTATTAAGGATCGGAGGTGGGATTTGATCTTAGATAGCCATCTAAGTCCAATGCCCTATCCACTATACCACACTCCCTCTAAGTTATTCAGGGAAATAGTCATCTGAGTACAATCATTGGAATTTCTATTTATTCTTTTCTAAAAATGACTAGGAAATGGATATGTGATCTAAGCAATAAAGGTTATATATCAGAAATAAGAAGAGGGCCAGGCCAGTTGTTTTTCATAGCTATGTGTAAGTAGGGGAAGAAGAACCAAATAAGGATTAGGGTGATAACCAAAGATAAAATAGAACGTTCTGATTACAGTACATGAAATTACAAGTTTTTTGCATGAACAAAATGGATGCAACCAGGATAAGCAGACAAACTATTGATAGGGGAAAAAAATCTTTGCATCAAGTATCTCTGATATGGGTTTGACATATGTGGAATTAATGCAAATCTATATGACCAAGAGTCATCCCTCAGTGGATAAGAAGATAAACAGTTCTCTAAAGAATTGCAAACTATTAATAATCATATGACAGACTGTTCTGAATCATTAAGAAAAATGTAAATCAAAACAACTCTTAGGTTTACATTTAGCAAACTGACAAAATAGGAATAGTTTATGTTGGAGAGGACATGGAAAAGTATCTATGCTATATACTACTGGTATTGTGAAGAAGTTTAAGCATTTTGAAATCATGCCAAGAAAGTGACTAAAAAGTTCATACCCTTTTCACCCAAAGATCCCACTGTTAGAAACATGGTCCAAGGAGTCAAAATTAGACGGGCTTCCACATACACCAAAACAGTCACAGCAGCAAACTTTTTGTAATAGCAAAAAAATGCAAACAAAGTAGATGCCCATTGACTAGGTATGTGAATATAAAAGAATTCTCATATAAATACAAAAAATGGGAAATCAGATCTGTGATTTCATGGGTGCAGGGAGGTTCCCTGTGAGAACCTTCCTCTCTCCAGGCAGACCAGCAGCTTCAAGTCTTACAGAAGTGACCAAGGTACATAGAGGAGGAGGGATATGCCCAAGGTGACAGATTCTGTGTGCCAGATGTAGGGCTTGAACTCAGGTCTTCCTTCTCATTTTGAGGCCAGCTCTCAATCTACTATATTAGGCTGTGTGAAATGATGCAAAGTAAAATAAGAAGAATCAAGAAAACAACACACAAAAATTTTAAGAATGTGAATGGAAAGAAGCACCAAAGCAAGCTGAACCTAAACAACACACAGAAACTAGAATATCATATGTAGTGGCAAATCAGTTGAAATGTTCATTAATTTTGATGAGTCTATCTCTCAATGCCTAGAGGAGCTCTGATTTCATGTAAAAGGAAAAAAAACAACCAACCATGTTAAATTGTTTCTTTAATGTCAAAAGAAGAAATAACTCCCCAAGTGATAAAATGGCAGTGAAAAAAGCAAACAGAGCCTCTGGATGTCCTATACTCATTAAACAATACTAAAAAAAACAAAAACAAAAAACTTCCAGGTTGAAAGGGAATAAAGTATAAGGAGGAAAACAGATGAAAAAGTCTTTTAGAAGTCTTTAAAAATGAGATGCTTTTGGCATTTTAACTTAAACTTGATTAAGTTTAAACTTAAACTTGATAGAAGTCTAAGAATTAAAAACTGGTTGACAATTCAAACAGCCCTAATTAGTTTTATTGTCTAACAATTGCTCAAGCTAACATACTGGTCTGTCATTTCTGTGAAAGGAAAACAGGTGACATGCACCATATTTTACTACTGCTAGGATGGAAGTGTTTGCTTTGATCCTTAGATGAATTCTCATCCACCTAACCTGAGGCCCACCTAACTGTCAGTGAGTATTTTACCACAAAACATTGCCTCTTTAATTAAGCACAGTATAGTTTCCATGATCCACTTACTGAGCCAGGTGGGAACTCAAGTGAAAGTCCCAAAGCTGCTTCCTTTTCCCTAGATTTCCTAGACAGCAGGTGCTGTGCTATAATTGCACCACTATGGAACCACCACTAATTTTTAATGACTACTTGAATTTCAAGTGCAGTACAGCAAGGTTCTAATTCTTCCTTTAAATGAAGCACCTTGTGCCCTCTTAAGTTTTTCAGGCAATAGCAACAATTCACAAAACTGATTTCTAGAGTCTAATCTTGAAAGATTTGGTGCATTACAATTAGCCTTTGATTCACTTATAGTTTCTTAAAAAAAAAATCTACCTATCTATTATGAGGCCATCTGATGCTCAATTCTCAAGTGCTTTAGTGTTCTTTACCCCTCACATCAATACATGTAAACAATGCATGAGTTCACAAATCTGCTAGTCATCCTTTTAAGCTCCTCACAGAGAAAGTTTGAAGTTATCTGGTGGTTTGATTTTAAGCTTTCCTAATTATAATTTCCAACCTCAACCAAAACTTACCATAAAGCAGAGGTGAACAAACGATTAAAAAAAACAAAAAAAGGCCCAGCTTTTGCACCTTTAGAAGCAACGAACCTGGAGATCCTTGGTGTTTGTGAACTATAAATGAGTTCAGAGAAAACTAGGTAGAATTAATTCTAGCTACAGCAGTATTAGATTTTTCACAGCAGTTAGACTAAACAAGACAAAAAGAAGTATGACATGGATGTGTCATGCAGTGAAAGATCAGGAAACCAGGGTTGGAATTATCTGCTACTAACCATGTGCCCTTGGGCAAATCACTTAAAACTTCTCTGGGTCTCAGTTTGATAATCTATAAAATGAGGAGTCTGAAATGGTCCTGAAAGAACTTTCTACCAATCCAGAAAGATGCGGTCTTCTCCCAGGCCTAGGAACATCCAGCAGGGCTGGAAAGGAGACTAATTATGGCTTACAGTACTAGGTTCCAAACAGCTCAAAGGATGCTTATGACTCATGTCTGCTCCTAAAGGGTCATAGAGTGTATCCAGCTAAACGATAGAGATTTTTTTCTCTTAAAGAAATTCTCTCCCTAGTTCTTTTGAAGATCAGAAAATAGGAAAACAGTTTACTTCTTCCTTTTTATCAGTCTCAAAAGACCTCCTGGTTCCCTCTAGACTTAGAAACTAAGAAACCAGTTCCCTACACTTTATCATATTCAGTAGATCTTCGATTATGTCCCGCAATCTATGTGGTCTTTAGAGAGTGAAGAGCAAAGTCTTAATTCTCAAAACGTACGTGTGGGTGTGTGCGTGTGTGTCTGTCTGTCCCCAATGCCTCTCTCCAGGCAGACGACAGACCATCCCTGCGTGCTGAGAAGGAAATCATCAGGAATTACGGGCCGAGACACCCAAGCTGGGCCCCCAAACTCCCGCGCCCCCTCTCCTCCTCGTCCATTCACTCTCCCCTCCCACCTTCTCCCAGACGCAGAAGGGACCACACCTCCCCGCAGCCTCACGGGCCAAGCTTTGGGGGGGGGGTGTCCGGTCCGGCCCCTCGGGTCCTCAGCCGGCACGCCCCGCTCGCTCCGAGGGGACAGCGGGGCCTGGGCTGGGCCCCCCGAGCCTCACCACAGGCGCCGGGCTGGTTCCTTCGAGGCCCCGGGCACCCGAGGCGGGCGCCGACCGGGAGAAAGGACCGCGGCCGGGGCTGGGGCCCGGGCCGAGGTGGAGGCCGGGCCCCAGCCCGACGCTCCCTCCCTCCGCGCCTCCCTCCCGGGCCCCGAGCGCGCCTCTCACCTCCTTTGGGCATCGCGGCTCCGGCAGCTGCTGCAGGAACTCGAACTGACGCCGGAACCGGAACTCGCCTCTCTCTTTCCTTCCTCCCCCCTCCCCCCCGCCCTCCCTACCTTTCCCCCCCTCTTTCTCCGTCTGTCTCTAGACTACCCTGGAGTAGAAAGAAGGAAGCCTCCGCGGGCTCCAGTCGTGCTCGCGTGCCGCTGCCGCCGCCGCCGCCGCCGCAGCCACGAGGACCCGGAATCCCTTCTCCCAGGCGCAAGAGCTCGAGGGGCGGCTGTCCCAGGCGCCTGCCGGAGTCCCGGTGCCGCCAGCGCCCCTCTCACGGGCACTTCCCAACACCGGAGCCCGAGTAGGCCGCCAACTCCACACCCTAGAGAAGGTCAGACTCCCCCATTAAAGAGCTCAACCCGGCCCTCGGAACCAGGAAATTAGAATTCTCCGCAGGCGATTCTGTGGACGACCAAACTGACGCACTATCTTTGCTAGGCCTTCGCCCGTGGCGGGAGGGTGACGTCATATCACGGGGGCCGGGAGGCCCTAATCCGTGACGTATTAAGCAGGCGACGAGCATCGAAGCGGAGCGGTAGGACGGAAACGGAAGTCGGGCTGGTGGTGGTCGGAGCATTCGGTAGGTTTTGTCGCCGTGGTTTCCTTGGCAATGGTCGCTCGCTCCTCTTTCGTTCTCTTGGGTCTCAGAGGGACTTTGTGGTCACCCTTCCCGTCAGACTGAGAGGAGTCCGTGAGGGGAGAAGAGGCTTCTGCCTCTCCTCTTGGAGCCTAGTGAAGAGACCCCGCTCCCTCACGCCCACCCGGAGGCTGGGTCCGCAGGGGGGCCGAGAGCGGCCTGCCGTCCAGTGCCCGAGGATCCAGGCCGTTCCCGGTGCTGGAGTTGTGTTGTGGGCGGTCGAGGGAGGAGGAGTTGTCCGCGGCAAAGCCCTCCTCCCCCCTCCTTTTACCCGCCGGTGGCAGAAGGTGTCAGACTCTGAGTCCAGGAGACTTGGATCCTCGACAGTCCTCGTTCTACGTGGGACCCCTCGGCAAGGCCCCTCGCTCCTCCGAGCCTCGCCTCTTCAATATTATTTGCCTTGCTCTGCTTAAAGGATTGTTTCTAGGATCAAATTCAATTCCGTAAACACTTGTTTTGGATCCTTGTGCAGAACACGGGGGCTGGGCGCTGGGATGTGATGGGGAGGTGTGTGGAATCTGCAGAATAGCTGGAGGACAAGATGCAAACACGAGAGAAGTGTGTTACACAGCTTTCTATGCACGACTGCTTGAGGGAGATGTTCCAAAGGGAAAGCCCTCATTGGTTCAAGATTATTGTGAACTTTACTATTATAGGCAGCAGTTCACTTGGGGGGACTGGAGGCTGTGAGAGTGCTATTATATACATATAAGTGATCGTTTCCCTTCATAGACTTCCTCAGGTGCTGAAAGGGATCTCAGAGATAATGAAGTCCAAACTCTTCATTTTACAGTTGAGGCCCAGGGAGGTTTAGTTAACTTGTGTAAGGTAACATAGTAAGAGAATTTGAATCCAGAGCTAGTGTTCTTAGTACCATGCTGCCTGTGTTTCTACATTAGTTGTTCAAGCGCTCAGCGCTTTCTAAGTGATATTCAGAATTTATGTTTGGCTTGTGTGAGGCCCACTTTGTGTTATCTTTTACATGTCAGTCTGGGTGATGTTTTAGCTTACATAGCCAAGCCTATCCTTTGTGGAATTGAGTATCAGGAACCAATTTGTTTTATTGTTTTGTGTTGTTTGGTAGAAGATGCCTAAAGTAAAAAGAAGCAGGAAAGCTCCCCCAGATGGCTGGGAGCTAATTGAACCAACGTTGGATGAATTGGATCAGAAGATGAGAGAAGGTGAGGAGAGCCAACTTTCAGTTTCCATATTAGACTGTGATCTGAGTGAATAATCACTTGTTTTGGATATAGCTCTTGAACATTCCATCTAAATTACAGTACTTCATTACATTGACGGCACAAACCCATGTCCATTCTTTGCTTTAATATTTTTGGACCCCCCACGTGTGATGTATGGAACGATTACTGAATTTGGAGCCAGAGAACTTGAATTTTAATCCTACCTCTCCTACTTAATATCTGTGGTAACAAGTCAACAAGCATTTATTAAGCCCTTACTATGTGCTGTTCTGAGCACTGGGGATGCAGTTAGAAATCTTTGTCCTGAAGGAATTTACATTTTAATGGAGGAATACAACACGTAAATGGGTGGGGGTAGAATAGGTAGGTACCTGATGGAGTGGTGGCAAAGGAGGAATGGTGGCTAAGTCTGGGTCCCTTCTCCGAAATGGAGGTCTTGGGAAGAACTTACCAATGGAAGTGCGATGTAAGGAAGTTGTTTAATCTTTTATTCTCTGGAAAACAAGGGAGTCATACTAGACCTGGGGTGGGGAGCCTGTGGCCTTCGAGGTCCTCAAGTTCAGCCCTTTGACTGAATCCAAACCTCACAGAACAGATGTCGATGACACTAAAGTTGAGGCTGCAGGTTTCCCAGCCCTGTACTAGACAATCTCTAAAATCCTTTCTGATTCTAAAAAGCTATGACTCTTTAGTCTTTTCTATAATTATGTAACAAGGACTAATCATGAGGGGGTTGGACTTGAAGAACCAAGAGACAACATGTTCTTGATTTAGGAAATTAAATTCCTTAATGGAGCATATACATAGAGAATCTTATTTGAGAAGACTGACAAAGTGTATTAGAATTGTTTCCTTATTTAGACCTTTGTTCAAATGGAAATTTAAAAAAAACCCACTGTAGCTTATAGTTTTTATCCCCCCTTTTTTTTCCCCCTTCGGCTAGGCAATGGGGTTAAGTGACTTGCCCAGGGTCACACAGCTAGTAAGTGTCAAGTGTCTGGTCTGAGATTGGATTTGAACTCAGGTCCTCCTGACTCCAAGGCCTGTGCTCTATCCACTGAGCCACCTGGCTGCCCCTCTTATAGTTTATATACTTTCAAATTTTGGTCTGCTCCTGTTATCCTAAGTCAGCATCTCCTGTTTTCATTTTTCTTTGCTAATCATCCTTTCCTTATTGGCTCTGTTAATCTTTATTCTTATTATAGTGATTCCTACCTGGATAGGAACTTGTAGAATATATCTGTTATGGGACTTTTTTGTGTATGTATGAAGTGATGAGCATAATACAGTCTTGCACATAACAGGTGCTTCATAAATACTTTGTTACATGAATGTTACTAGAGACTGTTTTGTGGGACATGAAAATAACCTTGGTGTGATTTTTAGAATACTTTTAGATATGCCCAGCAACCTCTAATTGTAGAGGTTCATGTTAAGGTTGCTGGGCATATCCAAAAATTTTTGTAAAAAAACTCAAGGGTAGTCAGCTTTCTTGCTCTGCTATAATAGCACAACTCTAATTTTTTGGTGTTAAATTCCCCACTGTATTTCTTTTCTCTATTTGTTGGCTTGACTGACATTTTCATGTTCATTTTTTTGTGATTTATTTACTTATTTATTTATGGCTAGACAATGGGGTTAAGTGACTTGCTCAGGGTCACACAGCTAGTGTGTGTTTTGTGTCCGAGGCCGGATTTGAACTCAGGTCCTCCTGAGTCCAGGGCTGGTGTTCTATCCACTGAGTCACCTAGCTGCCCCATAATTTATTTGTTAAAAAAGCAATGACTTAGTATCCCGAGTATACAATGTTCAGACTTTTCAATCTTGATCATAGTTTTTCTTAAACAAAAAATTGTTTAAGAAAAGACAATTTTAATAGTAGGATACTGATTCATATCCAGTGAACTGTTAAAAAAAATTGTTATGCTTACATCATTTGACTTGTTCTTTCTCCCCATAGGTCATTGTTGATGGAAATATAACATTACAGACTTTTTTTTTTCCTTAGAAAATTGTGTCAGACCCTCTGTACCTAACTTCTGTGCCTTTCTCTCCCTAGCTGAAACTGAACCTCATGAAGGAAAGAGGAAAGTAGAATCTCTCTGGCCAATCTTCAGGATTCATCACCAGAAAACGAGATACATATTTGACCTCTTTTATAAGAGGAAAGCCATAAGTAGAGGTAATCAATTGAACAGATCTTAGGCTTTTTAGGATCTTATTCTTTTCTTAGAGGAAGAAATCCTAATTTCAAGTTTAAATTCCAAGACTAATTAGATAATGGATGTCACTCCTGAAACCTTAGCAAGTTTCAATTTTTTTTCCTGATCACTAATTAACAAAAATATATTGGTAAAATGTACTTAACTTCTTTCCTTTCTCCTCCTATATCTTATTGAAGGATGGTGAAGGAGAGTTTATATTGGACAGATATCTAATGTTTTTTTCCTCTCTCTGACAGAATTGTATGAGTACTGCATTAAAGAAGGTTATGCAGATAAGAACCTGATTGCCAAGTGGAAAAAACAAGGTTATGAAAATCTGTGCTGCCTCCGTTGCATTCAGACTCGGGATACTAATTTTGGAACCAATTGTATATGTAGGGTTCCAAAAAGCAAGTTAGAAGTGGTAAGCTTTTTCCTGCCGGTACTTATTTCTAGGACCATTCTGAATTTTATTTTATATAGATTAATAATGTTCCTTAGTATTCTGATAATCACTTGGGGTTCATTATCTTTTTTATGTAGATTTTGATTGTAATGGTATTCGTTGTGGGTTTTAGTTCTCACGTATGGTCTTCTGGCTCCTTCCTTTAATGTGGCCATTTTCCTAATGGTTTGTCTCATGTGACCTATTTTTGTATTTTGATGCATGAGATGGGCAAGATTTGGGGGGTATATAATCTATAGATGAACCAAGGGATAATGGTGAAAAGATGTTTGATTGCTTTAAATCCTTATGGTTCAATCCAGTCCCCCATGAAAACAAGATCTGCAGAATTGATTTAGCTGTTACTTGAATTAGGCTTTGTTTAGGATTAAATTTTGCCTTCCTTTTTACTTAAGACAGAAAAGTGGTGAGTGTCTGACTTCTTAAAGATGCTAATAATAGAATATCATTTGGAATATCTAATTCATTTATGACATGCAAGATTCTTACTAATAGCAGAGATCAAGGAGTATAGGAGGAGTTATACTGTTTTTTTCACAGTTAATTTGTACTATGAGCTCTTTTACATAAATTTGGGAAAAGCCTGTCCTTGGCTATATAATTCCATACCTTTACAATGTTTAAAAACTTGAATTCAACTTAATTTTTATTCTTTGGGTCTTTGAAACTATACGAAGAAGTGGACATTTAGGGAAACTTCTCTTTTTCATGGTATTCATTCACTAATGTTGTGAATCCATTAGGTCAAGTTGTGATAGAATCAGTTTTTATATTGCATCCATCAGAATAAATTACCCCCTGCCTCACTGTCATCCAGGATATGTCACAGCCTGCCTTGTTTTACAGGGGCGGATCATTGAGTGTACCCATTGTGGCTGCCGAGGATGCTCTGGTTGACAGGCCTCGAAGTGATGGACCCACAGATTCCATTTCTGGCTTATTTTTATTGTTATCTCCATGAGTAGCTGTTAGAAGTGAACACTTCCCTGGATAACTCTTGCTTTCCAAAGCTACAACCAGTGATTGGAGCATAGTGGCAAATGAAAGACTGTGTTAATCAACTGTAATTATTTGTGATTTAAAAATAAAACCTTTAACCATTGGTAACTCATGCTGTAGTTTGTGTACAACAGGATAATATTAAAATATAGACAAGATTTTCCTCATCATGCCACTAAGAACTCATATATATGCATTAATTCTTTTTATACATGTAGAAAAAGTTATATAAAACTTTGTTTTTTCCTCATGGCCCTGTAGGATTATCTAGTGCAAGTGTCATCTCCATTTTACAGAAGAGGAAACAGGTTCACAGAATTAAGTGGGAAGGGACTTAGAGACTCTTCTAATCCAGTCCCTGATGTGCACAGCTGGCATCTGAGGTGGGATTTCAACTTGGGTGTGCCTGGCTCCAAGGCCAGTTTCCTATTATGCTAGAGTTTCTAATATAAATAGGAAGAATTCAGGAAGTGTTAAGTGCCTTGCCATGAAACTAATAAGTGAAAGGCAACACTCAAACTCATGTTTTTTGACTCTTGAGATGAGAGCTCTTAACATTATGATAGGCCACCTCAGAATAGAGACGGCCTATAGTTTGAAGATAATGAAGCTATCATCCCAGTATCTGCAGACCTGGAACGGACCTCCGAGCAGCCATTCCCTCTGACATACCAGCTTCTGCATGAAGACCCCCAATAAAGGAGAACCCACTACACTTCCTCAAGGCCTCCAATCCACTTCTAAATAGTAGAGGTTATTTGAAGTTTCTCCTTAAATTTAAATGTGTCTTTTCAACTTTCACCCATTATTCCTAGTTCTGCTCCTTGGGGCCAAGGAATAACAAATCTAATCCCTCTTCCACATGCCATCCTTGGGGGCAGCTAGGTGGTGCAGTGGATAGAGCACCAGGCCTGAAGTCAGGAGGACCTGATTTCAAATCCGGCCTCAGACACTTGACACTTCCTAGCTGTATGACCCTGGGCAAGCCACTAGCCAAAAAACAAAAACCACATGCCATCCTTTCAAATACTTGGAGATGATATCACATGGTTTTCTCCACCCGGGTCTCCATGCTAAATATTCTAACTCTCTCTATCTGAACATGAGGCCCATCAACATCCTGGCTGCCTCTGGACATTATTTTCTTGGTGCACTGTTCCAAAAACTGGTAAAAAACAACTTTGTAAGGCTAGTAACTCAGGAAACAAAAGTTGGTACAACCAGCTGGTACGTAATAAAGTCTACTGAAAGCACTCTAAAATGCAGTAGTACTGCTAATGCAATAAGACCCCAGTTATATTCTGGCCAGTAATCAGACACTTGAACCCATGCTGCTTCTACTTCTTTATGTCTCCTTTGTGGATAACTAGCCATCTAACAATCTGGGATTTCGAGGTTTTGGCAATTGTCCCAAAGTTGGTCTACACCATCATTCCTCTGAAGATGATCATAGTGTCTGTTCTTCCCGGCCTCCCAGGCCTTTGGCTGCCTTAGTCTTCTCTTCACTAACTTCGTCACTCTTGGGTTTTGTCCTATATTTCTCCCAGGGATGGGGAGTGTTTTCTGCAGGCATCACTTTCAGCCACTGCTTGTAGTAAGCCCGAAAACCATCGATCTTTTCCAAGTAGAAATTCTTCTCTTTGTACTGTAATTGAAAAATCCAGTTACATGAGATTTAAGAGTAGAGATAAAGTAGTTTCCATGAATGAAACACTGAGGGAGAAATTCTTAGGCGAGTTGAGAAACGGTCTCTTATTAAAGCTTGTTACATATAGTTTCAGTTAATAGAAAAAAAGGTAGACTGTGTGGAGGGTTTCTGGTGGGGAATGGAGGACATTAAGAGCATGACTCAATGTTTTACCACAGAAGTGGCTTGATATTATGTAAATATATAATGGCAGCTTATATTTTTTTACAGTGCTTTGAGGTTATAATTGCTTCACGTATATTAACTGGTTTTTACAACCCCGCAATGTAGGCTGGACAGGTATCATCCCCATTTTACTGAAGAAGAAACCAGTTCAGAGAGGGGAAGCTGCCCGTCCCTAAAGTGTGCCATGGGGGAGAGATTTCTTTAACACTTTTATTGTGGCACTGACAAAAGGCCTCCTCTAAGGACAGATAAAGTACTCCTGTTCGGTAGTTGGTTGCAAGGATTGGAAGACCTGGGTTCTGTATAAGCTCTACCATTGTGACCCTGGGTGGTTCATATGTAACTCTCCAGAATTGAGCTTCTCCACTTTGTAAAATCCCTGTAGCTGAACAAGTCAATCTCTAAATCTATACCATGTTAAGTCAATCTGCTATGATTTCTAGAAAATATGGCCATCACCACTCAGAGTTCTGGGAGAACACTAAGAATCAGAAACTGCTCTGGCATCAAAGATGCAGATAGCTTTCTCTATGTTTTTATATATAAAGAGAAAGCTATGCAAAACTTATCTGCACACTAATTTAACTTCTGTTTGCAAAGGACTCTTCCTTGGCTACCCATCAATCCTCTGATTGGAGGACTTATGTCACAGCCAAGATGAGATACTTAAAAATGATTAACAATTAGTAATATGACTGATACTAGCTTAGGAATTAGAAACTGAAAGGATCCGATAAAAGGGGACACCATCAGACTATGTATTACTGTAGGCATCCTCACATGGGATAAATGTAACAGGAGAGGGTGGAATTGAATGTGGATTTTACCATCCTCCACCCTTTTTTTAAATATGCACCTGGCTCTAAAAGAATTTGCCACCTCATTCCCAGAACATAACTTTTCTTTAAGACCTAGCATACATACCCTGTCAAATGTAGGAGGATACGTAGCTGCAAACTCCAGTTGTCGGATTATGACTTCGTTCACTGGGACCTTGTTCTTCTTCATGTCCTGAAGGATGTTTATGAGATATGTATAGTCCAGCTTCTTCACAGCTATATTGATGAGGGTGCTGTAGATGTGGACATTGGGGATCATCCTGCATTTCTGAAACAGCCACGGATACTAAACAAGCAATCTCCACCAGGGCTTATTGAAGCTAGTAGTACAGAGCATTCTGATGTGTTCCCAAAGGTTAGATTTGAATCAAGTATGGATTAAGTCAATCTGTCAATTATGTCACCTGTTGAGATCTCAGGTCAGAGAGAACCAATGTGTCAGAGGCTTATACAAAGACATCAAGTTGTGCTACTCTGTTCCTTGAAATAAATATGGGGCCACCAGGGAGTTAAGGCAAGCTATGTCTTTTCCAATAGCATGTGGAGACACAGGGCAAGATCAGTGAAAGACAGAGAATGGTATGCTGTTATGGGAGAACACTTGAAGAGAATTCTTCATGGTGGGGTAATTCCTAGAACAGGCCCATGGCTATTTTCTGGAGGCATAAAATAGACCAGTCCTTCAGAGAAAAAGGCAATTTTTGACTTTGTACACCAATACAGGTGTGGTGATAGTGCTCAGAGTGCATGCATGTATATGTGTGTGTTTGAATGAAATGGGTACTAAAGGGATTTGTGTCTTTTCTCTTGGGAAATTTGGGTTCCATGAATATTCTTGGTTATGGCTTCTGGTAGAGCCAAGATGGAGGAGTAAGGAAGGAATTCACCTGAACTCTTCCAAATGCACCTCCAAACAACTATAAATTAGTGTCTCAAAATAAATTCTGGAGTGGCAGAACCAACAAAAGGATGGAGTAAAACAATTTTGCAGCCCAAGACAACTTAGGAGGTTGGCAGGAAAAGGTCTATCTCACTGGTGTAAATGGGGAGCAAAGCCCAGTGCAGGCACTGTCCGGGCAAGCCAGCAGCCAAGCCCTGAGCCCTGGTGAGACCCTGTGGCCCCAGGCCCCTGATACTGCCCAGCAATGAGATGCCCAAAGGGCCATAAAGCTCTGCATATCCTTTGATCTAGTAGTAGCACTACTTGGTGTGTATCCCAAAGAGACCCAAAAGAAGGGGGAAAGATTTATTTGTGCAAAAATATTTATAGTACCTCTTTTTGTGGTGGCAAAGAATTGGAAATTGAGGAGATGTCCAACAACTGAGGAGTGGCTGAACAAGCTGTGGTGTATGATTGTAATGGAATATTATTATGCTACAAGAAATGATGAGCAAGATGATTTCAGAAAAACCTGGGAAGACTTAAATGAATTGATGCAAAGTGAAATGAGCAGAATCAGGAGAACATATTAAGCAGTAACACAACGTTTATGATGATCAATAATGACTGAGCTATTCTCAGCAATACAATGATCCAAGATAATTCCAAATGATGAAAAATGCTATCAACTTCCAAAGAAGTAACTGATGGAATCTGAATGCAGATCAAAACATACCATTTTTCACTTTTTTTGGGGGGGGTCTGTGTTTTCTTTTACAACATGATTAATATGTAAATGTTTTGCATGACTGCACATGTATAACCTCTATCAAACTGATGACTGCCGGGGGGGGGGGGGAAAGGGAGAGAATTTAAAACTCAAAATTAAAAACAAAATGTTAACTGTTTTTATATATAATTGGGAAAAATAATAAAATATTATTTAAAAAAAAGAAAAGAAAAATATTCCTGGTTATGCCTATCTGGAGTAGTGAAAGATCAGGGCAATATAACCACCAGGGAATAGGCTGGTGACAGGATGGGTGAGATAAGTTGTCTCCAGGCTTGGCTGTATTCTGTAAGCCTGATGTATCCACTTAAGAACTTCTTCCTTCTTTAAGGGTGTTGCCTCCCTAGTGAGAACTTTTATTTCCAAATGCTCACCCTCAACCAACTAACCAAGCCTTTGTTTAAGAAACTAATGAAATCCCACCTCTTCTATGGAATAATAATGTACCCTGACAAATGAGAGGTGATGACTACTCTTTCTAAACTGGAAACTTAATGCATAATGTAATGGAGAGACAACTTGGTATAGGTGAAAGTGCGCTGGATTTAGAGTCAGAGGACCTGGGGTATAAATGTGAGCTGGGCCACTTAACTAGCTGTATGATTTTGGACAAGGTCTTCAGTTTCCTCATCTGTAAAATGAGGGGACTGGACCAGATAATCTCCAACGTCTCTTCAAGCTTTAAATCTATGCTCTTATGATTCATTTATAACCTCAACCTGAAATAATATGTTACAATTTTCTAATTTCATAGAATAGGGACTAGACTTGTGGATTCACTGATGTAAGGAACTTTTATAGGAGCAATTCCCAATTCAGGGTAGCATCTTCTCTATATCTTACTGTCTCATAACAGGGGTTTTTAACCTGGAGTCTACAGACTTGCAAGGGGTCTGTGGATAAATTTCAGAAGGGAGTCCACGAACTTGGGGGGGAAATTATACATTTTTATTTCAATTTAACTGGTTTACTTTTAATCCTACGAATTTTATTTTACGCATTTAAAAGCATTATTCTGAGAAGGGTAGGCTTCAGCAGACTGCCAAAGGGGTCCATGATATAAAAAAAGGTTAAGAACACCTGTCTTAGAGGGTTACCTAGAGCAGAGAGAGGTTAAGTGACTTGTCTGAGATCATATAATCAGGACATATCAGAGGTGAGACTTGCAATCATGCCTTCCTGGCTCTAAGGACAGTCCTCTATTTATTATGCCACATGCTCCCAATTTCAATGCTGCATTAATATTACTATCATTTCACAAATATGGCACTTTAAGGGTGTGCAAAGGTATTTTCCTAGAATAACCTTGTGTGTTTATCAAAGTTATCAGGGAATGTAAATGTCTAGAAGGAAGAACTGAGCAACTTTATAGTGCTGACCACAGTACTACATGAAAATTTAAAGGAGGGTTATTAACCATTCTTTCTAAATTGGATACTTTATAATACATTGTTAGAGTCATCGTGGAGGTCTGTTTACCTTCATGTCTTCAAGCAGCTGCAATCCATGTATTTTCCCGATGCAGCCTATAGCCAAGTTACAAAATGTCTGCATGTTAGGGATGATTCCTTTCTTTGCCAAGATGGGAAGCAGCTTCTGAAAGAACAGACATTGATGCCAATGACAAACATTTCCTGAGCACCACTGTATAAAGCATACTTTGCTAGGCGCTGGGGAGAGAAAAGATAAGGCATGCTTCCTAAGGCCTTGAGGACTTTACACTCCAAGTCACTCTGTGGAGTTGTTTCACTCACACAATGGCCAAAGCTTCAAAGAAACCAATGCCCACTAGTTTACTGAAATGAGGTCAACTTAAGGGGGATGAATCTTATTCTTTCTTACATTGAGGATCCTAATACAGGAAGAAAGGCCTAAAGCAGGGGTGGGCCTTGAGGCCATGTGTGGCCTTCTAGGTCCTCGGGTATCCAAGTTTCACAGAACAGATCCTGTTATTAAGGGGATATGTTCTGTGAAGTTTGGATTCAGTCAAAGGGCTGCACTTGAGGACCTAGAGGGCCACATGTGGCCTCGAGGCCTCAGGTTCCTCAGTCCTGGCCTAAATAATAGACAAAAGTCTCAAGAAGGCTGTGACAGCTCACTGGTTCCTAACCAATTCCTATAGCAACAGGACAATATCTGGGAAGAGAGATGAGAAGCAGCTAATGGTGGTGGGGAGACAGGAAGAGTCTTGTTATTCAGCAATGAAAAGGAACCTTTCTGAACAGACCCAGATCTATTAGGGAGTGATCAAATCTTGGGGGAGAGATAAAGAAAAAGGAAGGGGATTTTAAGTGGGACCCTGGAACTGTATTCCTCACCCCTTAATGCATTTTAGTGTCTCCTAAAATGAAAAGAGGTACCAGAGCTTACCTTTGCCCCTTGCAGGTCCCCTAATTTGCTTTTCTTCCTCACCAATGTGTTGAAAAATGTAACATCAGCTTCCACCTGGTGCTCATCCAGAACAGCCAACAGCGTGGACTCTGATGGACTGTCTGATTTGACCAACTCAGCCAACAGTGTTAGAGTTTTGATGTTGGGTTCTAGGTGGTCCTCCTTCATCTTCCTCAGGAAGCCTTCCATGTCACCCATTAAAGCCAACCTGTCAGCTGGAGTAGCAACAGTCCCCAAAGAAACCACATTCGGGTGAGATGCCCTGAGATCCAGCAAGTTTGGCACAGGGCAAACGGGTTCTGAAAACTGGGCCAAATCAGCTTTCACAGGCTCCGGCCTACTCAGACTTTGGTTTAGTACGAGCAGGGAATCAGCAGGTTTGGAATCAAGTTGTCCTCTGCCATCTTCCGGCTCAGGCTGGACCTCATTGGTCTCTCTGGCTTTCTGGAGGGCCTCCCTGGAAGGGGCCTGGAAGAGCTGCCTCTCCAGGGAGTCCACATCCAGCTTGGCTGAGGTGCCCTTGCGTTCCTGTGTTTCTGTCCCGAGGTGCTGATTGTCTGCCTTCAGCGGGAGCAGGGCTGGCTTCTCGTCAATCCTCAGAAGCAAATCTGAAGCCACGACAGGGTCCCCGAGGTCACAGTCCCGCGCTGCACACAGCATCAGATTGTAACTGTGAACATCGGGCTCAATCTCCATTTTCAACATCTCTCTCCAAACCTGCTCCAGAAGAAAAAGTGACACCTCTTTTTGTTTCCTCTGAATAACTTGTTACAAGACTATCAGAAGGACCCTCAGCTGCAAGGGCTGGGTCAGCTGGGAATAGAAACCCAGACAAGAATGTTTTTTGGGGGTGGGATGAGACGATGGGGTGACACTGGCTTCAGATCTCTGGTTGTTGATGCTACTGAGGCAAGGAATTTCTCTGAGTATCCAGTCTTGGGAAGGTGACCTCTGTCCCCAACCTCATCTAGGATCGTGCCCAGGGGACTGAGGCAGGAGAGGGAAGCATGCCAGCATAGCTGACTGATGTGTCCCTGATCCCCTATGGCAATGTTTACTGACATATCATGGTCACTGGCTCACATCTGAACAATGTTCATGAGAAGGTGGATTTGGCCAAAAATGTGCCTTTACTTTCAAACTGCCCAGGAGCCTTTTCAGATAGGCATTTTTGTGGGCAAGAAAAACAAAGGGCCTTCTACACATCAGTCTCTCTCTGCTGCTCTGCAACCTCATCTCTCACCCAGCACCAACCACTCAGCATAAAGCTCAAATATCTTTCTCCCAACACCTTGAAAGGGCCTGCCTATTTCCCAAAGACCTTGTACTCACAACACTCAGAGGGAGAGGTACAGACCTGCAACGCATATCTGAAGCCTGTCTTCTTGTCTTGTATGCAGCCCATGAGCAGGAAATTGAAAGTCTCTTTGGTGATGGCATGACCTTTAAGTACAATTTCCTAGAGCAGGGGAGAAATCTGTGACTATTCTGAATCTGAAGTGGTTCCGAGGTATCATCTGAATGATAAGAAGGTCATAAGCCCTTAGAAGGTAGCATATGTGTCTAATTTTATTTATGCAATGCCCAGTATGATGTTATGGTGACTTCTAGGTAATTTAGCACTCATTGATCAAAGGAAAAGAAAATTAACTCTCTAATCCTTATATTTATCCCTTAGAAGGTTAATCTCATATCTCCATTTGTGAAGTGGTTAAATGTTTCTCCCCCAGATGCATGGACACACATCCCTGTCACTAATGTCTGTCTTAAACTTGCTTGCTTATTCGTCCCCAGAGGGCAAAGCCTACATTTAGATGATTCTTCAGGGAGAGGGCTACCACATATTATCGTGACCATAAAGAAGCCATATCTAGATAACTACAAACAAGTCCATCTAACCACGCTGGACCTCAGTTTCCTCATTTGTAGAATGTTAGGATAGGACGAGGAGGCTGCTAAGGTTACTTCCACTCTAAATCTATGCTCTTAGAAAGTTCCACGTGAAGGACACAAATAGGCCAGCTGTCCAGAGTATTGCTTCCTTTCATTTTATTCCCACTAACCCCCCTCTTCCAGAATTCTTAAGATGCTCAGCAGCCCTAGTAGCCCAGGAGCCACTGAATAAGTCTGTCTAGCATATAAGGTGATACAAGCTGGGGTTATCCCACTCACTGTCTCCCTTCAGCATACCCTCATGGTGGTTCATTCTTCCAAAGTGAAGAAGCCTAAACTCTTGAACATACAACAGCACCTTAACCTTCAGAGTGTTTCTTCAAGGAACTGCTAAGAGGCCTCTTAAGTACATAGGTGTCTGGGCTCAAAGCCCCACTGGCACAGCTGAGTGAGAAGGGGCAATGGTGTACCCCATCCGTGAGCTCACTTATAACTCCGGGCAGAGCAAAAGTGGGCGCCGGATGTGCCACCCAGAAACAGCTGAAGTGTTGAGGAGACAAACTGAGTAAGGAACATGGTTGCTTCCCATCCTTGCCTCTTGATCTGGTACCAATCTCTTGGCATCTCTGATCCTGTCAGCTGCTGGTCTTACCCATCAGGATTTTAATGCTCTGAAGAAATCCTGGGTCTGCCTGGGCCTGGCCTTGTGATTAAGGCTTGCCTGGATCCTGATTCCCAATCCTGTCCTTTTCTTTCCCCAAAAGGGAACTGTACCTCTTCAGCCCTGCTGATTGCCCTAATCACCTAGCACAGTCAGCCCCCTGGTAGGAAAGGACAGTGTCGTCCGATCCCTTACCTGCAGCTGACAACGGCAGTGGAGAGAGCTCTGAGCTTATAGTCAGAGAGACTTGAGACACCCACAAACTGTGTGACCTTGGGCAAGTCATTTGCCTACGCTCAGTTTCAGGTTCCTCATCTGTCTGGGTCTTTGATCCTACGATCATACTTCAAGGCCCTGAATAGGGAGCTGCAGAAATGCAGTCACAATTGGCTCAGATCACTGAGAAAGCAGCTGCTTTTTGACGTGTCTCTGTACTCTTTGGGAAGGAAACTGCTGCCCCAGATGGCGGGGGGAGTCTGTGGCCTTCGTTGGATTTTCCCTGTATCATTTTGCTGAACAGGCACAGGACTTTCTAGGGTTCTTGGCCTATTATAAGTTGTTTATGGACACCCCCCCAATAGCCTGGGGTGAAGATGGCTTTTGTGGTGTCTTGAGGTCGCCTACAGGCTGATGGGCAGATAGTATTCAACTGAAACCTTAAAAGTTTCTGTGTCATCACATCACTATGATGGTTAGGCTGCCCTGCTGCCCATGGAGGAATGTTCTTATCACAAGACAGTCCCTGCCCTTCTATATGAGCCCCAGCTTCTACGCTTTTATTCCCTACATTCCCCCAGCTCACCACTCCAGGGGAGCTGACTTGCAGCATGAATAGGGGCAGCCAACGTAGTCTCCAGAAGGGGGGTGAGCCAACATGGGGGGAAGCTCCTGGGGGTAGGGAACCATATGGGGAGCATCTTCTCTAACCTCTCCAAGAGTAGCCATTCCTAGAATCTGGCAAACGGGGGGAAGCAGGTGCGGAGAAGACTGTGGCCTTCCAGCTGGTCTCGATGCCATTCAAGTCAACAAAGACTAAGGTATTTACTACGTGCAAGGCACTGTTACACTCTATTGAGGTTTGTCAACTTGACCCCAAACTGTCCACTAACACTGATAGCAGATGAGCAGAAAAATACTGTATTATCTCCTACAGTCAAGGAAGAGACAGGGCCTAATCTATGTAGTGCCTGGTAGCCTGGTATAGAGGTATGGGCACCAGAAGACAATGAAAGTCAGAGAACCAGAGTATGATGCTGTGTGCATGCCCTGGAACTGGTAGAAAGAATCCTCTTGCCAATGTCATCCCAATCCAAGGGCCAGGGAAAGCACATAGTAATGGATTTCTGGAGTCCAAACCTTACTGGCTGAGTGCAGTCAGGTGCAGGGGACGTGGGCCTGGCCAGTGACGAAGCTTAGGGCAGTGTGGGGCAAAAGTGGGAAATGTATTTAGCCTCTTTAAAAGGGGAGGCTAGACAAGGTTAGCAACACCCCCTCAAAGACTCTCCCCTGCATTTTGTCACCTGATTTCCCCAACCAAAATCTTGCCTTTATGACCACTTTCTGGCTTCTGTCTCACCCTTTTAAATTTAAATTAAATTTTTATTTAAAAATATTTAAAAATTTTTAAATTTTTTAAATTTAAATTTTAAAATTAAAAAATATTTAAAAATTTAATAAAAAAATTTAAAAATAAATTAAATTAAATTAAATTTAAATTTTAAATTCTGAAGAAATCGCCCTGGCCTGGTTTTCTGGCTCATATTTACTTGGAATCTGATTTGGGATTTTGCTCCTCTGTCCAGGAAGAGGGCTGCCACCCCCTCCGTGTTGGTAACTGCCTTAAATCACACACTTGACAACCTTGGGCAGGCCGAGTATACTAACAGTATCAATGTCAGGTCTCTCTCTCTTTTTAAAAAATTTAAAATGTTATTTATTAACAGTCCAAAAGCCTTTCTGATATCACTAAAAATGATTATAAATAATAATATTTCCAGTAAGAGGGATGTGATTGAGCATTTTTCATCATTTTTCAAAATCTGGGGCTCAACAACTGAGTTACTCCCACTATCTACCTTTGATTTAAAAAAAAAAAAAGGAGTCAGAGGTCAATCCTATCTTTAGTTCTTTCCCCCTGCCGCATGCATGGTAAAGCAAAACAAATTCCTACGTCCTTTCTCATGTGGCTGCACAGCTCTGGGACGTCTGACTAACTTCGTCACCATGCTCCATGCTCCTGAGTCCGGTATCAGGCTTTTAAACTTCCTTTTGTGCGCTGTCTTCTCCCATTCAAGTGTAAGCTCCTGGACAGCAAGGGCTGTTTTTCTTTTTTCCTATTTGTTTCCCTAGCACACACTTAGTACAATGCCTGGCACATAGTAGGCATTTAATAAATGTTTACTGACTATTGACTATCTATCGACCAGTATCAGTTCTGAAGGCTGGTCTATCCTAACACTACCAACAAGGAAGGAGACTCTGGTATGAACTCTAGCCAGTGGCTGTAGAAGCACTGAAACCCTGAATAAATAATCCTGAAACCGTTCAGAATCATTCTTGATCCCCAAAGTGAAAATATAATTCTGTGCCCTCATGAATATTCAATCTTAACCCTAATGACATGAATTTGGCTCCAGAGAAGATGCAGAACTAGCTCTGGCTCTGAAGTGCCATGACATCTGCTGACCTGAGCTGAGAATCTTGTTTCTACCTACGTGGGGAGGAAAAATGCGGGGAGATGGGGAGGCCAACAACATTTCCTGAACACCCGCTTGTATAAGCAGCACCATGTTAGGCAACCATAGGGCAGGAGGAGTTGAATAATAATTTTAAAAAATTATTTCTACCTTGAAGACCTCAAAACACATCCTGGTATCAGCACAGAGGGCAGAGGCTTTCAGTAGTGCATGATAGGATATCAAGTTCAGTTGGATGTTTTTGGCCCGGAGCTGTTGCTGAAGCTTTAGGGCACTCTGGAGGGCAGAGTCCTTCCATGGTGATTCGGCACAGGCGTTAAAAAGGGCTGTATAAGTGGCATCGGTGGGCTCCAGATCCCGTTTCTTCATCTATCATGAACAAAAGAAAGCCAGAGTTGATTGCCGCCCCTGAACAGGACCAGAAAGCTTCCCATCAGAAACCATCTATTGGCTTGACTTTGACCCCAATGCAAGAAGGTGAAATGAGATAATGATGAGAAACCTCATTAAGATCAATGACTAGAGGTGAGAACTGGGGCTCAAGGCATGATCCGCCTAAGGAATAGGGCATGTCCTGGGCACGGCTTCAGAATCTGATTTCCCAGCCTGTCCCTGATCCAGCTCAGATGGTACTGAAAGCCTCTACAGCAGTGGCTCTCCAAGAGAGCCTTGGATTTTGTTGAATGTGCTGCAAATTGTATGGAATTTACACTTCCAAATGCACAAGCAACCCTTCCAATTTTCCTGAAGTGGGCAATGGCAAAGAATACTATGCCACCAGGAAAAACAGTTTGTCAACCAAGATGTCCCAGGCAGCAATCAGCCAAAGCTATTTTTAAAAATTAGCGATACATTTTAAAAAATAATTTTTACCGACATATTTTGTTTTTACGTTACCTAAATTTCCCCCTTGGTTCCTCTTTTCCCTGGGAGCTATCCCATAGAACAAAGAATTTTTTTAAGCCTTCAGAAAGCCTTCCACAACCCCTCTTAATTGCAGTGCTTTCTCTCTGTTAATTATTTCCTATTTATCCTGTATATAGCTTGTTTTGTATATATCTGTTTGTATATTAGCTTCTCCCATTAAATTGTAAGCTCCTTGAGGGCAGGGACTGTCTTTTGCCTCTTTTTTGTATCTATGGCACTTAGCACAGTGCCTGGCACATAATAGGTACTTAACAAATGTTTATTGATGGATTAATTTTAATAGAAAGAGGAAAAGAAAAAAAAAGAGAGGGGAAGAAATTAGGTAAACAATCAATATGTTGAAAAAAATCTGCTATTCCCACCTCTGCAGAGGAAGGGGAGTGGGAGGGAGAGAGAAGATACTTTGCCATTTTTTACCTCTCATACTTGGCAGCTAGCTAGACCCCTGTGTGACCATGGGCACACAGATATATGTGTTTGTGTGTGTGTGTATATGTATATGTATATGTATGTATGTGTATAAATATGTAAATTTATTGAGTTATATATGAGTTTCCTCATCTGTACAATGGGGATAACAATACTAGTACTACCTACCTCACAGGGTTATAGTAGGCACAGTGCTTTGACAACCCTAAAACACAATATAAGCCGTGAGCTTACTGTTCTCAGCCCAGTGCTTCTTGCTGTCTCTCAAACAGAAAGGAATAAAAGTCCCACCTAAACCAAAGCTGAGTGGGTGTGCATGTAAGTCTGTGTTAGCGTTACTTGTTCAAAAGACCCTTTCTCTCCCCTTCTCCAGGTACTCACATCATTGTAGAGCCTAAAGGCTTTCTTCAGGTAGCCTACCCGACCGCAGCCTCCAATCAGCACTGTATAGTTACATTCAATGGGCTGGAGACGTTCCTCCTTCAGCATCTGCCTCTCGAACAGATCCAGGGCCTCGGCCAACTTCGGGCACCACCAGGAAAGGAGAAACATGGGAAAGAGTGTTTAGGCCTGGTATAACTAACACACACACACACACACACAAATAATAGTGACAGGCATATTATATAATATCAATTGTTATTAATTATTAAGTAATGATTAATTAATATTGTACATAAGTGTGTATATACACACATACACACAGGGTCTAGAGTAGGGGTAACCTTTTTTGTATCATGGACCCATATCAAGGGAAGTCTAATAAAGTATATGGACCCCTTCTCTGAAAAATGTTTTTTAAAAAAAAATTTTTTTATCTAGAATGTTCCTCTTTGCCATTTTTTATTTTTATTTTTTAAAAAATTATTTATTTAGTATTGTTTCCCCCAATCATATTTTAAAACGATTTTTAACATTCATTTAAAAAATTTTGAGTTCCAGATTCTCTCCCTCTTCTCTCCTCCTCATTGAGAAGGCAAGCAATTTGATATGTTATACATGTACAGTCATACAAAACATATTTCCATATTAGTCATATTGTATAAGATTTTGATTTAAAAAAAAACCTAAGAAAAATAAAGAAAGTTTTAAAAGTGTGCTTTGATCTGTATTCAGACTCCATCAGTTCTTTCTTTGGGGATGGATAGCATTTTTCATTCTAAGTCCTTCAGTGTTGTCTTGGATCATTGTATTGCTGAAAATAGCTAAGTCATTCACAGTTGTCATCTTACAATATTGCTGTTACTGTGTACAATGTTCTTCTGGTTCTACTCATTTCACTTTGCATCAGTTCATGTAAGTCCAGGTTTTTCAGAACAATGTTTTTAAATGCACAAAAAAACCCCATCAGATTACAAAGGAAAAAATATACTGAAATATACTTATCAAAATATTTTTTAAAAAACCAAGTTCATTAACCTTAGGTTAAGAAGCTCTGGTCTAGAATACAAAAGTATTTTCTCTGGGGTGGGGAGGGAGGGAGGTAAAGGGAAGAAATGTCCCTAAGAAGCCTCCATTGGTATACCATAACCATTCTGGGGTTCCCAGCACCTGCCTGGCCCTCCACTTTCAGAAAATAAGAAAAAAGGACAGATATCACAGCAGCTTTGTGCCAGCCCAATCCAGAAGGCCCCCCTCACTCTAACTCCATGTCCTACACACACTCGTCCCATGATGTGTGCTTACTTGGTCACCTGGATTAACACCCCTTTGATTTCCCTTAGTAGAGACTTTGCCCAAGTCTCATTTCTTCCTTTTTCAGAGCCCCCTACCCTTCTGAGTCTCAACTGTCCTTGCCTGAGAGGAAGGGAGGGAAGGACAATTTATTGATGAGGGTCTTTTCCTGAAAAAGCAGTTCTTGTTTTTTCCACATTGGGCTGTTCCATCTGTTGGGGCTGTACCATGTTTTCAATCCTTTTGCCTTTACATTTTTTTCTCCCTTACTCACTTCGTACAACACAGACACTTTCTCTCTTTTCACTGGTTCCCTCTCATATAACATTTAAAAGCCAAGGTTTTTTTCTTTATACCTGACCACCCCTTTAACTCTTCCCTTGTTCTTCTTCTCTATCTGCTAATTGTATCCTCCCCTTCTCCCATGACTGAATTCAGCCTATGGGGATGCAGAAGCCCAGCAGCTGCTCCTAGAGTCTACGTGCCTGTTCTTGCCCCAGGTTAGACAGACTAGAGCTTGGGAGGCAACAGAAACCTCTGGCTTCTGGTGGTTACGTTCCAGAGCCCTCTTTCAAACAAATTTTGGTCAATGAACATTTATTGAGTGCCAACTACATGTGCGGTATTATGTCCTGGCAGATAAGGCTCAGTCTCTGCCTCTAGAGAGCTCACTCTAGCTGGGGAGAGAACACACAAATAAACAGAGAAAAAAGAGCTAACACTTTGTCAGGTGCCAAATGAGGACTCTGCTAAGTGCTAGGCCAGTTCATAAGGGAGAAGAAACAGGTGTGGATCGAAGGAGTTAGAGAAGGTTCTCAGGAGCCCAGTTCTAAAGCCAGCTCCTGCAAACCTTCCCTGTTTTCACAGAACCGGGGCTCTTGGCATAAAGAAGGCTTAGGTCAGGGTCAGGGGACCGTTGGCTCACTGAGAAACCCATGCATCCCTTCTCAGAAGAATGTTTTCAAATGCATAAAATACACAAGACCATGAAGGAAATCAATAATATTGAAACACACATCAAAATATAATAAAGAAAAAAACAACCAAGTTTATGGACCTTGTTATGGATAGAAATGATATTTTCTTCCTTTGAACTGCCAGAGTACTGCAGGGTAGGACTTAAGTAAAATTGAGGCATCTAGACAGCAGTAGAGAATACTCTGAGCCTAGAGCCAGGAAGACCTGAGTTTAGATCCAGCCTCAGATACTTACCAGTTGTATGACCCTGGGCAAGTCACTTAACCTGTCTCTCTCAGCTTCCTCAGCTATAAAATTGGGATAATAACAGCACTTATCTTACAGTGGCTTCGTTGTGAGGATCAAATGAGACAAAATTATAAAATGGTTAGCACAGTGCCTGGCATGCTGTAAGCTCTATATTTATCCCCTCTCTAACCCTCCCACAGTGCCTGGCACACAGTAGGGACTTAAATGCTTGTAGTATTACATTTGATTTGTGTACAAATCCCAGCCCCCATAAAAATAGTAAGCTTCGTGGGGGTAGGGACTGAGTCCTGTTTCTCCTTGCATCCTTCTCAATGTTTAGCACAGGGCCTTGCCCAAAGTAGCTATTCAATAAGTATGCTGAAAGAATGAATGAATGAAAAGGTAAGATTTGAAGGATGGCTCTAGGAGGGCAGGGGTTGTTTTATTTTGGTCTACCCAAGGCTGTCTGGTGCACAGCTGACACCCAAAATGCTTGTTGAATTAAACTAAAGAAGGCAAAGGGGATGCTATGTGAGGATGGGGTCTTGTTGGTATGTTTAGGGTTCAGTGGGTAAACCAATCTGACTGGAGGGGAAGATTCATACAGAGTGGTGGGAACCAGAGTTCTGAAAGTGACATACCTGTCTGACTTCTGAGCCACGGTTTTCAAAGGCGCTAACCAGGAGCTAGGGGACTCACCTTGTCCTCCTTAATCAGCCTCTTGCATTGAAAGAAATACCAATGGGGGGTGTTCCGCCGACCCTTCCAAGGCTTCTGCAGTATCTCATCATCCTCATTCTCATATTCTTGAAGCCTTAAGTTGTGAAAGTCTGCTGTGGTTTTACGGAACATTTTTCTGGATGAATATTTGTCAGATAGGGTCCCAAAGTCTTCCTCCTCCTTTCCATCTGTGTCTAGCTGGGACACAGAAGATGATTCACTGAGCTCTGGAGAGCTGCTGTTTACTTTTTTCTGGGTCCAGTCATTTGAATTGAGTTTGGGGAGGGAGGAACTGAATAGTCTCAGCACCTCGAAATGCTGCTTCCATCCCAGGCATCCAAGCCGCTGCCACATGCTCCTCTGAAATGCCAGGTTCTTTCCTTGACCTACCCTTCTAGTTCCATTGGGGCCTACCCATGGATTACAGTGTCTTAGGGCAAAGGATCCTGCCAGGGACGGGCTAGAGAACAGCTGTATGATTTTCATGTCTCCTTTTGCTGTTGTCTACCATGGATTTTTCACTGATCCAGTCTGGGTCCTGAAGTTAATTCAAATTTAAGGGAAAAAAAAAGTAAGGAAGTGCCAAGCATAGTCAAATAAGGTTTTTATATGAATTATTTTGGATAGCCTATAGTTGAAATAATGTTGATCTTGGACACTAGACCCGAGTTAGAATCCTGAAAGTGGCCATGCCACTTCCTAAAATGGCATGACATTGGACAAATCAGTTCACTTCTCTGAGACTCAGTTTTCTCACCTATAAAATGGGGATAAAACTTGCATTACTCTAGAGGATGGCTGTGAGGAAAGCCTCTTAAAAAGTATTATATAAATTTATCACCTCTCAGACTACCAGCACCTCCTTTTTTTTGGGTGGGAGGGAGGGGGAACAATTCCAGGCTCATTCTTCCCTGGCTCGCTCAAGGCCAAAGAAACCCCCTGGGGTGGGAGGGGTATAAAGCTCTAAGGTTTTCCTCATAGCAGCTGTTCTCCAACAAAAACGTAAAGTGTCAAAGTGTGCTGCTGGTGGCCCCATCCTAGTTGTGAGAATAGATGTATCTATAAAAGTGACAGTTTGGACAGGAGTTGGAACAATGTGTGTGTTGTGGGGGGGGGAGAAGGAGAGGAGAGACAATATAAAATCAGATTTGGGTTTAGGAGTATCTTTAGGGATCCTAACCCTCTCATTTTATAGATGAGAAAACTGCGACCCAGGGAAATGACTTGTCCAAGGGTAGTAGTAATTGGCTAAGCCAAGGATTTGAACTTGGGTCCCCTGACTCCGTTCAAATTGGGGGTGGGGGGGGTGGGAGCCAACGCCAGAAAGATCTAATTTTCCGGACTTTTAAGCCTTCTGAAGTCTGAACAACCTAAGGCGAGTTTCCTCACCCCCAGGAAGCTGGAGTGGGTATTATCTTCCAGGTGCAGCGAAAAGAACACTGGCTTTAGGATTAGGCAGACATCAGGCCCCACGGCTTCCACCTGCTACCTGCTGATGTTTGACAAGTCAGTTCTTTCCGGGCCTCAGTTTCCCTATCTGCAAAATGGGGTGAGTGAGCTCTAAGGTCCCCCACCCCATCCCAGGTCATCCGAGACTTATTTTTACAGATGGAAGTGCTGGGGCTCAGTGGGGTGCAGAGATACCCCCACGTCACTATCAGAGTGAGGTGACAGCGGCGGGATTCAAACCCAGTCCCCCAAGCGTCCTCCCCGGTGGCACTCACCCTGCAGTCCCCCCAGTCCGCCTGCCCTTCGCGCGCGGGGCGCAGGCGCAGATGCGCTCCGGGAGCCCCCAGGGCAGCCTCACCGGCACGCGGTCCCGTCCGCTGCCGGCCCTCGCAAGGAAGCCCGGGGAGAACGAGAGCGAGCGAAGCAGCGTGACAGCGTACGTCAGAGCCCGCGAGGCTGCCCGCCCCCGCGATCAGCGCCTGATAGGTCCGCATCTGGCTCGCTAAGCCACGCCTCCTTCTCCTTCAGCGCGCGATTGGTCACCGATGGTCCGGGGTCGGAGGTCGCGCTCCCGGCATCCCGCGGGGGCGGGGCGGGCTGAGGCTAGAAGAGCGGCGGGAGGGGGGGCGGGGTGGCGCGCCGGCCTCGGGCCGAGGAGTCCGAGTAGAGAGCGTGGGCCGGGCCGAGCCGGGCCGGGTCGGGCCGGGCGGGGGTCCCGGGCTGTAGTAGAGAAAGAGGAGAAGGAGAAAGAAGAAGAAGACGATCCGGGTCCCCGGAGGGCCCGCGCCGGCCGCCACGATGCAGGAGCTCATCGCCAGCGTGGACCACATCAAGTTCGATCTGGAGATCGCGGTGGAGCAGCAGCTGGGGGCGCAGCCGCTGCCCTTCCCCGGCATGGACAGTGAGTGAGGCCGCGGGGCCGACCCCTCCCCTCCCTCCTCCCCGTCCGCGCCTGCGACGGGCTCTCCTCGCCGGGACTCATGCCCCCATTTGACAGATGGGGCAGTCGAAACGGGTGGGATTCTCCCAGGGTCTTGCAGCCAGGAAGTGAACCCGAGCTGGGACTTGAACTCGGGTCTTCCGACCCCAAACCTAGTGCCCTTGTCTTCTAGTGCGTATACGGATGGCAGACCTCGGGGCTTCCGCCTCCTCCTTGTGACTGGTGCCCAGCTGGCTGCACCGGGCAGGCACCCGAAGTTGGCCCCTGGCTAATGCTAACACCCCCACTTCCTGTCCCTCTTCCTTTCCCCTCTCCCCTCCCCCCATTCCCCCACTACTTTCCCCCTTTTCCTCTCTGCCCGGAGCCCCGTGGGCTTGTCCCGATTGTGAGGCCGGGGAGTCCATTGAGCCCCCAACTCGGGGCAACTGAGGATATTCGTACCGGGGAAGAAAAGACCAGAGGGGAGGAGGTGTTGCTTGGAGTTGCATTCTAGTATTTGAAAGGTTGGCGCTGTGCAAAGAGGGATTACAGTCGTTTTGATTGGCCCTCAAGGGCAGAACGAGTTGTGGAATGATAACAACAGCAGCAGTGTTAACAGTAGTAGCTCGGGTTTACATTGTGTATTTATATTTACAGCAGCCTCACAAGGAGTTAGCATAATTATTATAATCTCCGCTTTATGAGCAGGAAATTAATCATCACATGGTTGATGTGACTGCCCAGGTCACAGCTAGTAAATGGCAGCGGCAGGACACGAAATTTCAAACATCCTTTTGTAGAGATAGAGATTTCTGTTCAATGTCAAGAAGTTTTTCCATTATTAAATTAGAGCTGTCCAGAATCCAGTAAAGTGAAGTCTTACACTTCAATGTTACTAAAATCTCCACTTTTATAGGAAGCCTTTCTTAATTCTAAGTGTCTTTCCTCTGTTAATTACTTCCTATGTATCTTGTGTGTAGTTTGCTTTGTTTTTATTTGTTTGCACGTTGTCTTCCATCCTTTTGTCTCTTTGTATCTCCAGTGCATAACCCAGTGTAGTGCATAGTAAGCTGCTTAATAAATGTTTAGTTATTAAGTTAAAAAAATTATTCCTATGTCCGGATCTTATCAGATGTATTTTTGTTCAGCAAGAAGATAGATAAGTTGGAATTTGACCAGAAGAGGCTAACCAGTGAGAATGGTAAATGAACTGTGGTTGAAGAAACTGGGGTATTTAGTCTGGGATAGAAAAGACTTTGAACACAGATAGCTGGCTTCCAAGTATTTGAGGGTTTTTCATTTGGAAGAAAGATCCTGGACTAGGAACAGTGAGTTTGCAGCAGCAGCAGCAGCAGCAGGAGGAGGAGGAGATGATGGAGATTCAGCCTTTATAAAGAAAAACTTTGCAATAATTAGAGCTGGCCCAAAGTGGCATGGGTTGAGCCAGATCAGGAAGTAGTGAGTTCCCATTCAAGGGGACATTTTCAAGCAGAGACTTCAAAGATGGTCACTTTTGGGGGATGTAGTAGAGAGAGATTCAAGTACAGGTTCGACTAGATGACCTTGGAGACCCCTTCCAGCTCTGAAATACTTTAAGTTTGTGCTATGACTCAGAATTTGCACTGTAACTTTTGAGTGGACAGCTCAGTGACTGGGTTCTGGGCTGGGCAGCTTTTTCTGCGGCTGTGGACAGCAAAGCAGAAAATTGAGGAGCAGCAGGAAGTACTAAGTACGTCTCCTGTTCATGCGGGAAGATCTGTGCTTTCTATCCTCTTTCATCCCCAAACAAAACAGATGAACAAAAGAAGCTTCTTTACTCTTTCTCCCCACATGCCTAGTTTAGTTTGGACAGCTTGAAGAACCATTCTTAACTTGGATGGATCGATCCCTACTCTGAAATCTTAACAGGACTTGTTATTTATGCTACTTACCAATCGCCTGATGTTGTTATTTATCTTTATATCTGGAACAAATCTCATTTTCTTATTATAAACTTCTTTAGGACAGGGAGCAGGCCTTACAATTTTTTTCCTCACTGTGTGTAGCAAAGGACGTTGTTGACCATAGTAGGCTTCCTAAGTATGTATTGATTGCTCAGGAGCATCACTAACACTTGGCTAAGATTTCTCACGCTGTGCCTAAATTATTTCTTAATTCCCAAGTTCAGATCACTTTACCCTTTGTGTGAACCCTATAAATTCTTCAGACTCCAAAGCTTGCCCCTGGGTGTGGGGTGGTGGGTGAGAAACTTTGTGAGGCTTAGAATGCTAGTCTTGTTCTCAAATATAACCTTCAGTCTTTATGGAAGGTGACAGCTTTAATCTTTAACTTTTGAATGTTAAACTTCTGGATCGCTTTTTTGTTCATACTTAAAAAAGACCTCAAAGCAAAATGTCTGAACATAAGTCCTTCCTTTAAAAAGCTTCAGAATGCCTTTGGAATTGAAGGCCATTTCAAAAAGCCTTTGAAGTTTAGAAAGAAAAGCAGTCTAGGTTGTTAGGAGGACAGTGAGCTCAGGTTACAGAGAGATAGATTTGAGCTCAGTATAAAGAAAAACTTCTTGATATTCAGAGCACTTTGCTAATGAAAGGGACTGCTTTCAATTTCAGGAGGGGGCACCTAAGCCCTCTTCGAAGGAAATGAGGGATTCAGCTAGGCAGAGAAGTGAGAAGGCTACGCGCATTTTATTCATGGGCAACCTTCTGTATAAAGTTATAGAAATAGGAAATGGAATGTCCCATACAGGGACCAGCTGTAGCAGGCCAGTCTGACTAGAATACAATGTGTGAAAGGGAGTAAAATGAAATGGCAACACACATTTATTAAGCACCTGCTATGTCCTATCATCTGGGGACACAGAGACAGAAATGAAACTTGCCACCCCCTCCACCCCCACCTCCCAGCATGTACATTTATACAAAGTATATACAAAGTAAATCAAAATTAATTTTTTGGGAAAGCATTAGCTTCCGAGGGGATCAAAAAAGGCGTTGTGTAGAAGGCAGCATAAGCTGAGTTTTGAAGGACACGTGGGATTCTAAAAGGGAGACGTGAGAACAGAGTGCATTCGGGGCTCAGGAGACAATCTGCAAAGGCACAAACGTACACTGTCGTTTGTGGAGAAGGAGCAGGAAAGCCAGTTTGGCTGGATTATAGAATATGTGAAGAGGAGTAACATATAAGTCTGGAAAGGTAGGTTGGAGCCAGCTTGTGAAAGGATTTCAGATGGAAGAGTTTGTGTTTAATTCTAGAGATTATAGGGAGCTCTGAAATTTATGAGAGTGCCAATGGTTGGACTTGTGTTTTAGGAATGTCACTTTGGCAGCTTTGTGGAAGTTGGGCTGGAAAAGGGAGAGACTTGAGGCAGAGAGACCAGTTGGAGCTATTGAAGTGTCCTAGCAGACATGCTGAGGATCCAAACATGGCTGGTGGCCATGGGAGTCAAGAGAAGGGGTGGATGTGAGAGACGTTGTGGAGGTGGAATTGACAATACATGGCTGAGAGGCCTGAGCTGGTGAGGGGTCAGGGGTCATTCAGAGCCTGGGAACTTGGATGACTAGAAGGGTGGTAGTGTCCTCAGCGGCAATAGGCAAGTTTGGAAAGAGATGAGTTTGGGAGGAAAAGATTTTGAGTTCTGTTTGGATATGGTGAGTTTGAAATGTCTTCTGGATGTCTGTTTTGAAATGTTTAGGAAAGAACTGTTGATGCAAGACTGGAGCTCAGAAAAGGGAGTAGGGCTGGATTTTGTAGGTCCAGGATTCATTTGCAAAGAGATGATAGTTGATGAGATCACATTACAGTCAGAGGGTGTGATATGGATGATGATCCAGTGGAAGAGACTGAGCTTGTGGTCAGATAAGACAAAAATGAAGAGAAAATAATGTCATTAAAACCCAAAGAGGAGACATTATTCTGGAGAGAGTGGTCAACAGTGACAGATGTTGCAAAGAGCGATCAGGAGGCCTCAAGAATGAGAAAAAGCCATTAGATTTTGTAATGAAGGGATCATTGGTAGCTTTGGTGAGAGCATTTTCATTTGAGTGATTAGACCAGGAGCCAGCTTGCAAAGCATAGAGAAATGAGAAGAAAGAAATGGAAGCAGTGATACTAGACAGCTTTGTCTAGGAGTTTGGCTGTGCAAGGGAGGGGGCATATAGGATGATAATTTGAAGGGATAAGATCAATTTAGAGTTTTAATAATGGGGAGACTTGAGTAGGTGTGTGGGCAGCAAGGGTGGATAGAGAGATTGGAGATTAGAGGGGGGTAGTAATTGTGGGGGCAGTACGCTAGAGGAGACAGGAGAGGATGGGGACCAAGGATGGATGTAGAGGGTTTGGAGTGGCAAGGAGAAAGATTACTGTTTCATCATATAACTGGAATCTAGATTCCAGGAGGAGTGAGGAGAGAACAAGAAGTGA